CGTGCGGGTTCACAAGAGGTCCTACCACCAGCGTTAAATGAAAGTTACGACACACACGAGGCAGCAGGGATCATTGTCATTTAATACAAAATCTTCTAAATTCAATAATCTTTATTATCCAAAAAATCAAGAACAGCATAACTGATTCGGATTAAATGTGTCACAAAAGTGGTTCCACATTGGCCGAATTAAGTAAGATATTGTCGTGGTAAATGACACGACCCGCGCGATATATACTCATACATACATATACTAGTATCTGCTATATTGCAGGGGTGGCCAACTTGGTTAGTACCAAGATCTACTGTCTACTGACGAAACAATCTGCGATCTACCAATGGCGTTTATTGAAATTTAATGAAACAATGTAGTTCAGTATACAAATAAATAGTATATTTTCTTTTATTAAAAAAAATTAAAATAATCCTGAAATTATATAATAAAAGAGAACTATTGTGTGGAAGAGAGGATAAATATTGTGACGTAATGGTCATTAACAAACGATGCAAGATCAAGATGATGCGTGCAGCAATTGGTGATTACGTTGCGCAGTCTGTTCTATGTATTTATATTTTTGTATATATGTACTATGTAGTCGTTTTGGCAAAGTAATTATAACCTAGTGTTCATTTTACTCATGTCTACTGTAGGTGAGCCCACGGGGCTCAAGCCGGGAGTGTTGCTAGCACTGGCTCTAGCAAGAGCAGTGCTTCGCAGAATCTACGACCGGATCGGAAACGCGACCCACTGAGAAGATCCGACGAGAAACTCAGTAGGCTGTGTCTATGGGTTAATTTACTCGTCGAGCCCTTCGTCGCGAATGACGGGTTCGGCGAGGACGGTGACCGGTGCTTGAGGTATCTAAAAGCAACTTTAATGAATCGGTAGGATCCGAAATGACGTGCTCAGGGCGACGTCGACTGTTTACCAGCAGATGGACGACAAGGGCTCAGCCAGGAGGGGTGGGATTTGCTAACAGCTACCCGAACGCCTCCAAAGGAGACTTAAAAATTCAAGAGCAATTGCTTCGCAAATGAATCTACTACCGGATCGAAATGACCCGCTGAGAAGATCTGACGAGAAACTCAGTGGGCTGATGCATGGGTTAGATTGCATGTCGAACTCTTTGCCGAGTTCGACGAGTAGGGCTAAATTTGCTTATTATAACCGCTTATTCGATTGGTTTTCATCGATTTTAATGATGAACAAATGAGATTCAAAGTTGAATCGTAAGATTTAAAATTTTAAATATATTCTTATTTAACGAAATACTGAGGATATAAAAAAAAACAAATAATCAGATTATTTAATGTTTTATTAAAAGGTTGACCGGCTAGCCAGCACGTTCGAATCTAAAATTAAAATCTTACAATAATTTACAATGATGATCTATAATAAAACGTGTTATTAACTAATGTTATTGGAGAAAACTATATAATTTAATTATATTTACATATTAATATTCAATTACACGTAAGCTTTGTACATGGCGTAACTTAGGAATCGTTACGTTCCGATTTACCAGTTGCTTTGTCTTCGTCAAACGTGTGCAAAAGAGACAAAACACAGCGCAAACAATTTAGGAATAACAATTTGCTATTTTTGAATAAATAACTTTTTTATTGCTTAGTTGGGCGGTTACCGGAGCCCATAGACATCTACAAAGTAAATTCCGCCACCCACCTTGAGATAAGAGTTCTAAAGTCTTCGTTTTTAACGGCAGCCTCACACTTCAACTTGAAGCGCATTACTGCTTCACGGCTGAAGTAGGCTGAATAGAATAGGGTGGTGGACCTACTCGTACGGACTCGCAAGACGCCCTACCACCAGTAATAATGCTAATAGGAGGTAATAGGAGCTATAAATGGTAATCCGCGTAATCTGGTAATAAATGGTAGTCTGCGTTGATGATGGATAAAGCCAATGGGTTCAGTTTAGTCGATGTCTGCATCTCACTACGTCCACATAAACTTCATTTTTGGAACGAAGTTCCTTATGGGACGATGCGGTGGGGTACCCTACCCGGGAAAAAACGTCCGTAACGTAAGATTTTTATTAGCAATGCACACAGTGTACGACTTAACTTTGTAATAACGTACAAAAAATAACAGATTTTTTTAGCATTACTTGACCACGATCTCAGAGCGTTCGTTTGCGTAATACACTAACTCTTATGCAAACAACCGTGAATGAAGTGTACCACAATAAGTTCGCATGTTACCGAATGACCGTGGGTTGTTGCGAAACCTTGCAGTTTTATTTTCTTTATACCTCGAATAGAACTTAAAATTAATATTTTTCTATTTATATCTATATTTATATATATAATATTTTCTATTAAGCTATGGTTCGATTGGAATTGTACTAATGCCCCAAGTTTTGTTTTATGCAATTTAGAATTCACTACCGGCCAATTTATCAAGCATAAAAGCAAAAAATACGCTCTTCGTTACAGAACGAATAATAAATGGACGAATTTAAAAAAAAAAAAAGGAATACTTTTATAATGGCGTTAATAGATTTTCATCGAAGTTGACCGTGTGATTAATCGGACGTAAATTCGAAAGAAATTCAAATTAAAACCATTATGCGTTGGAAACAATGAATTTATATGTAAAAAATTAAGAGAGAAGACTGTTTTTCGAATTTGATATTCGTCGTCGAATAGAAATAGGCTTTAAGAAATAGCGTATGAATTTTTGAATTTCAAAACGTGTATGGATGTTTCTCGCATGCGCTGTGATAAATAATAAAATGTAGGTAAAGTGTAGTAAGTTTGAGTGACATTTTGAATCAGCGATTTGCTATTTTTAAATGTGAACAGATAAATCGAAAACAATTTCCATTTACTGGTGACATTAGGATGAACACTGTAAATTTTATTTTTATCAATCGGTTCATTTTTGTTAATTTTCATTGCCACCGGCGGCAGAGGCAAGCGGCTCACTCTTATTACGATTTTAGTCTCCAAGTCTTATCTGCCAAGAGACATGTTATAAAGTTGAACTCATCTAAGACCCTAATCGTACAAAGCAAAGAAAGAACGATGGTGTTCTATGAAGAAATAATGCTGCGGCGATGGGAGTGCTAGTGAAAACAAGATGATTGCTGTCTAGCGATATACAGCGGTTTGGTTTTATCCTTGGTCTTTTTGAGAACAATGGTGATCCTCGACACAAAAGTTTACTTGTTTGTCTACGGAGGAAATTAAAGATGATGGAATCATCTCTCGTATTAACGACAGCTCTGTAGAAAATGTAAAGATATCTTCTTTTTTTAGAATTGAAGGATTACTGGTGGCCCGGAGGCCTTTCCAGTCTCACCAGGACAGGTGGGCGAGCAAAGGCTCAGCCAGGAGGGTATTAAAGCCCCTTCGTAAGTTCGGAATTTCCAAAAATTAAAACACTCTTCACTTTATCATTGTTGGTAGAGAATATTGTGCGACCGTACGGGTAGATGCAAACGCCCTGCCTATTTTAATAGCTAAGTTCGTCTTCTTAGATAGATTTTTGTTTAAAATTATTGGCCTTTGTCTTTTTTCTGGATGATTTTTAAACCGCTTAAGCATTGTTAAGGCTCTTAACTAATAGTTAACTCTAATCATCGTTTAAATTCTACTTTTGATATCATAATGGTGACAATATTGAATAATTCTAATCACATTAAATGTTTAATTGAATTATATTTGTAATAATCGATTAAATATTTTAGTATACATTTTAATGGTTTTGCCTATTATTTAATATAATACTGTTCATGCTTATTTACAAATTTCCAAAGATTATTTACTAAAGCTCATTAAAATTTATTTTATAATTGTTACTTAGAATTAAATACACAAATTTAGTAATTATTCATAAATATTTACATATCGGTTAGTTATCAAAATAAGCTATATGCTCAGCTCCTAGTTAACATTGATATTTTAAATTGAAAATGATTTAAAACTAATTATACTTTATTTGTTTCAAAATATTTTTATTGCAGTCTCCATCGATCTTCGTAAAAGGTGAAAATGTCGCGAGAAGAGGTTATCATCAGCCAAACACATAAAATTACAATTAATTTAAATAAATGTAGGTAAGTATGTAGATGCATAGTCGAAAAAACAAAAGATTTTAGTATGTTTTTTTTTGCATTTGAATTTTAAAATTTTATTTATTTACATTTTAGTCTTGATTTTCTTATTATCATTATATTATTTCAGACGCTTCGAATAATTTACGGTTTTAGCTTAAAAAACGCAAGGATAAACCGTGAAAGTAGTTATAATACCAAAATGATATCGTTTGTAACAACAAAAGTATATTAGGCGCAATTGTAAGGGCGTGTGTAATAATTTATAATTTAAGTACAAACAAAAGTTTACTTCTTGTGCTGCGTCTAACATTATATACTGTAACGAATCGCCCAATGATAAGCTTTATTTTTCAACAATAGCTAGTAATCAAAATTACAATTCCTCAATAACAATATAATCCTTAGATAACACTTCCGAAATATACAGTACCATAATTTGTTACGAAGTATATATTATTAAAATTAAACATCATTGAATTATTTCAATATTAATATGTACAAAAGCGACGTTATTTTTGCTCTTACATTTAGGAGACTTATATACAATTTCGATACAGACCTCAAGTCTCAATGTGAAAGGTGTCATTCACAATAGGATGTCGATGGGCATCGGTAGCTACTTAACATCAGGAGAGCCGTGAACTCATATAAGAAATAATTAAAAAAAATAGATAGGGCTGTCCCGTGGGGACCCAACGTATACGAGAAGCAAAGCGTTTTCTTCTCAGAGAAACTGAACCGTAGCAACCTTAAGTTATTTAAATTAGATCTTCAACGCAATCCGAACTCTATAAGCTTCTGGAATTACTATAGTTCTGAAAGGTTTGCAATGTGCTGAAATCTAGGCAGCCTCTTTGACATCCTGAATGCAGACTGGTGATGCCATGACGGTAATTATCTTAGGAAATTTCTGTTTTACTTCAACAAATAGGAGAAGCAACGGGCGGCGGGTGCGGTGGTGGGGGATTGGTTGTCTGGGCATTCATGAAGCTTCCTTGATTCCCGGCCCAAGGTTGCAGGTTCTGTAACGCGCTCAATGCTGTATTGTTCGGTTGTGAGGCCGCGTTGTTTTGCGTTTGATAATGTAGAGCCGAGAGACCGGCTGATGGGGGTGGTTCGGGGATGTAGCCTTTGCTCAAGGCCTCGGCTTGCAGGGAGAGCATCAGACGGTTAGCGGCCTGCCTTTCTGCTTCCCGTTCTTCAGCCGTTTGACGTCTGTAACAAAAGATGCAACGTTAGTTTTTTTTATCTAACATCTATCGTTTTAATGATTATCTATATCTCTAACATCTGTCTTTTTGATGATAATAATTACCTTATCGTAATCATTAAAATCATAATCAATTTTTTTTATTGTTTAGATGGGTGGACGAGTTCACAGCCCGCCTGGTGTTAAGTGGTTATTGGAGCCCATAGACATCGACAACATAAATGCGCCACCCATCTTGAGATATAAGTTCTAAGGTCTCAGTATAGTTACAACGGCTGCGCCACCCTTCAAACGAAATGCATTACTGCTTCACGGCAAAAATAGGCAGGGCGGTGGTACCTACCCTTGCGGACTCACAAGAGGCCCTACCACCAGTATTCTCTCTTATTCTTAGTTATTTCTCACTTAAAGGTTTGAAAATGAAGGTATCGTTAGAAATTTACAAAACTGAGTCAGTTTAGAATAAACCCTTGAAAGAGCTAAAGTTTGTACTAGACTCAACGATCCTTATTACATATCTTCAGGTCCCATTCTAATTAGGTGACTGCTTGCGTTTGAACAGAAGATTCCATTCTCATTCAGGGCTCGAATTCATTGAGACCGAATTTAAATTTAAACTCTTTTTAATAAGATCGAAAACAAATTAAGGAAATATTATCCGAACTCGTAGGTACGTCAGAACGCATTATCGATTCGCATTCACGCTGTTTGTACAACACGACAGTTTAATTCGAATCAGCAAACGAATGTCACATTTACAAAAATAATCGCATCGAAAACAATGTTTAAAATTAAATTTTCATCTCATTAAATCGATAATGAAAGCCGTATTTGTGTGTTGTACAAAGGCAAACGTCCGCCGCACTACGTCAGTTGAATAATTGAACGCGTCGAAAGCTGGGCCATCGTGAATTATCTCATTCGAATGATCGACTATAATATAATCGAATGTCGTATCGAAATATTGTGACGTATTATACGATCGCATCGTTTTGTTATACCTAATTAGTGAGTGATGTGAAACAAAACGAGATTAATTAAATTGTATGAAATTAAATCAGTATCTGTTCAGCTTAAATAATTCTGTGGTGTGTGACGTAATGAAATGTCGTATAGCAAGTTTTTTTTTTACTATAGGTGTTAATATATGTAATTTGAAAACAACATTATATAAACACGCGAATCGTAAATGCTTTAATAACATATATCGCTTTGACTGATGAAGTATCTCATGGTAATAATTGATTACCGAAGTCCATAGATAACAAAAAAGCAAATGTCGACTTCCAGTTGAGACATAAGGTTTAAGTCTCCATTCTATAGTACAACGGCTGCCCCATCCTTGCGATTTAGAATAGATTTTTGCTTCGCGGCAGAAATAGGCAGGGTGGTGGTACCTACCGTGTTCATAAAACGCTCTACCACCAGTAAGATTATAAAGAATATTATTCATCCTAAGGATCTTGAGTACTGCTATAGTGAACTCATAGGGGCTATCATTCTACCTATTATTTTTACTTTGACTCAATGATCCAATTTTCGAGATGCGTTTTAGTTTGTATAGGCTCTTATAATTTTAAGGCATTAAAAAGGACTTGAACTAATTTATTTAACAGTTAACAGAAGCTGAAATAGTAATAACTATATCTATATACTCTATTCCCCTAATTACATCATGATACATCTAGGTATATATACTAAACCATATTTTTAAAGCTTTGAAAAAAAAAAGCAAAACATTAACTGTTTTCGTTAACTATATTTGAAATAAACATCAAACGTTGGTCTAACATTATCTTAACACATCAATGAAAACCACATGCAAATTGGTTCATACATATATTTGTTCAGATAAAACAGTTATCTGATGTAGCCGGCGGCGCGTTATCTTACAGTAATCATAATGTCAATCTTCGATTACACATAAACCAACACAGACAGACGATGTTAAACCAACATTTAAAACAATTATCGTTTGTCAAACTGCCAGTGGTTGAGCAGTGAATAATATATTAGTCTTAGAGCCGACGGTCGGGCTTCTAACCGGATTTGCGTCAGGTAGACTTGTAAATAAATGGCGACAGGCGAATTAGTCCGTTTGATGGATATCCGGTTTTTAATTGCCTACGCTAATTTTAGTTTTGAATGAATCGTTGATTTCAAAGATAATATCGAAGGGTGAAAGTCTATTGGGCTTAAGCGTACCATCCGGCTTTGGAATGAGCTCCCCTCCACGGTGTTTTCCGAGCGCTATGACATGTCCTTCTTCAAACGAGGCTTGCGGAGAGTACTTAATGGTAGGCAGCGGCTTGGCTCTGCCCCTGGCATTGCTGACGTCCATGAGCGACGGTGACCACTTACCATCAGGTGGGCCGTATGCTCGTTTGCCTACAACGGCAATTTTTTTATCTTTGTAATTAAATGTGCGATTTATTTGGTATTAGCATCAACAGTTGGATGTTTTTAATTGAACTTCAATTAAGTTTACTCCGATACTGAAATAGCTGAAGAAGTTTTTTTGTTACGATGTTTTTTTTTCCAAATTTTAAACTTTAAATGGCTCTCATGCAAAATTATTGCGTTTTAATGTATAATTAAAAATGTGAGTATTGGTATTTGTTGGTGGTGGATAAAGGTGTCGCGTGTGTAATTCTGGTATTGTTACTGGTGGTAGGACCTCTTGTGAGTCCGCGCGGGTAGGTACCATCACCCCGCCTATTCCTGCCATGAGGCAGTAATGCGTTTCGGTTTGAAGGGTGGGGCGGCCGTTGTAACTATACTTGAGACCTTAGAACTTATATCTCAAGGTGGGTGGCGCATTTACGTTGTAGATGTCTATGGGCTCCAGTAATTACTTAACGCCAGGTGAGCTGTGAGCTCGCCCACGCATCTAAGCAATAAAAAAAAAATTCAATCATTCCGTTGTTTGAAATTTCAAACTGTGTTTCAAATTCAACATTAACGTAACTAGTATCTTAGCTATGATATTATATACAAAGAAGCGATGAAATAAAGTTTATTATTTTTGGGGTGAATAAATATTTAAAAAAAACTTTGAAAATATATATCATTCATCCATTCATTTCAAATCAGTTCTTTTTAAAAGTATCATAAAATTTACCATGACATTTTACAATTTTTAATTTTCACAGTATCCTTTTTGTAATAGATATTGTAGGTGAAAGGGACATGTCAAGGACATGTTGAAAGACATATCTTCATTTATACGTTTGCAGATATATTAATAAAAAACACGCAATTACACTATTGCACTATTCAAAATTCAAGATAAATACTTCAAAAGCTTTCACTAAGTAAGGCAACGTTTTAACGTAATTTTCAAAGTATACACAAACTCAACGGACAACTTTATCGAAATGCTTCCCTTAAGAGTCTCATAATAATCTTAACGTCCGAGTTCTGTAATAATGTTAGCAGTAAATAATGTCCTACAGACGCAGTTCTGCATCTTAATACTCGAATAGAACGCATGCTATCAAATGAGATAGTGTAGTGACTTCACTTGAGTGCACTAGGGAGTGAACGCTTTAATGCGATTATCGTTTTCAAAATGTCTTGTTCGAATCGTATTTTCTTCGATTTTCACGAGTCGTGGATATAACTAAAAACGTTCAACACCTAAGTCGTCCGCGGCCGCGAATACTTTTAAAGTAATCGAATCGATTAAACCCTAAAACTAACGTTGAATTTATTAAAATCGATTTAATTACGAATGTGTCTGTGAATTCATAGATTATGCCAATAGGTTTTTTTTTAAATAAATGTTTCTAATCAATATTAATCTTTATTAAACTAATTAATATTAAGCTTTATTGGATGAGTTTGGCTCAGTGTTCAACGGTTCACTTCATGCTTACTAGAGCATTAGTCTAGTACAAGTCTCGTATGTATTATATTGATGGTTGTAATTCATGACTCATCTCGCGACATTTTTCAAAGCAGGTGAATCTATCTAGGACCGCATTGATTCCTAGATTTCTTGATATAAGCTCTAATAACTACTTAACTACAGGTGGATTGCTTGCTGTAGGATTATCGATATGAAATGGAACTACTGTTCTTAACGATTCTTTTTTCCGTTCTTATAATGTAACTTCATTTATGGGTTCATTTGAATGTAGAATTTGAAAAAGCTACAATTGAAAAAAAAAATTTATAACATCATTAAAATTTTCGAAATCGCATCGACAATGGAAATTGATTCTGAGGCTACTCTATTAACTTATACGGACGTGTCTCACTTCTGTAATCGATAATCGAATTACATTTGAACGGAGCTTTGAAAAGCGGTCGATATAAACGTTAAATCGATTAACATAAAACAGGGCTGCTCAATGGTAATTGAAAACTTAATTTAATTGAATAAAATCGATTATGAAACATTAAATTATGAATTCATTCTACCGACGCACGACCCTATTAGACAGAAAATAGACCTTCAAACATAAAGTCACCACGCTTGCACAATTCACTGAGGATTGAACTGGAGATTACTGCTTTGTGAATTCATACGATTCAGCCGACCTTTAGGTAAATGCGATTTTAATTTGTTACACATAGCGTTTGAATTAGTTTTACGACGAATTTGATGCCACATATCATTCACGAATAATTACATTACTCGTCTATGAGCACGAAAACTGGTGGTAGGACCTCTTGGAAGTCCGCACGGGTAGGTACCACCGCCCTGCTTATTTCTACCGTGAAGCAGTAATGCGTTTCGGTCTGAAGGGTAGGGCAGTCGCTGTAACTATACTGAGATCTTAGAACTTATATCTCATTGTGGGTGGCGCATTTACATTGTGGATGTCTAGTGTCTAGTGTGGGCTCCAGTAACCACTTAACACCAGGTGGGCTGTGAGGTCGTCCATCCATCCAAGCAATAAAAAAAAAAAACTATAAAGTATTCGAGACGTTGAAAACATTTTTTTTTTCTTTTTCATACTTATGCTGATAGCCTTGAGAGGCTATATCAGCTTCTCCT